TATGTGTATGTGTACGTGTATGTGTGTGTGTATGTATGTATGTATGTATGCATGCATGTGTAAATCTATATACGTATATGTATCTGCATATGTATGTGTATATCTATATGTATATGTTTATGTATATGTACATTTACATGTACATGTGCATGTGTATGTGTATGTGTATGTGCATGTGTATGTGTATGTGTATGTGTATGTATGTGTGTATGTATGTATGTATGTATGTATGTATGTGTAAATAAGTAAGCAAGTAAGTAAGTACGTAAGTAAGTAAGGAAATATGTAGGTAAGTACGTAGGTAGGTCGGTAGGTAGGTAGTTAGGTAGGTAGGTAGATAGGTGGGTAGGTATTAAGGTATGTATGCATGTATGTCTCGCGGATGCAAAGAGAGTACGTGTTGTGTATGGGCATGTATGCGGGTATATAGTGTATATGTATTTGCATATGCGAGTTCATATGTATCGTACAAGAATAGGCGTATATACACACTCACATACACATACACGTACACATACACAAACGCAAATGCACATGGATATACATACACATATACATCCAAACATACGCAATACACATTCATTGTTGTTGATGGCGCTGGTCTTTACATGTCTTTGCAGGCATGACTTTAAGCTACTTACTTGGCTAACTTTAAAGAAAGTTGGCTGCTCTGATAAGAACCCGTGCATCTGACTCTGAGAAAGAGAATCCCAGCTTGCTAGTACGTGCAAAATTATGCACGCGTGCCTGTGGGGCTTGTTATTCAAGCCTTCAAACCAACCGCTTGCCGTCCCAGCTGTGCCATCCTCGCTTGCTGCAGGGTTTTGGCTGTCGGTCTGCCATGCCGCTTGGCTGCGAATGCCATCCCATGGCAATGCTCGAGATACTGTGACGCTGAAGATGTGGTGCATTCCACCTCGGCATCGTAGCGCGGCGTGGACAGATTCAGGTGATTTGGCAATTCTGGCCGTGGAGGATGAGTTCTGGAAGGGCAAGGAGCTTTGGCTCCGTGTTCTGGGCCTCTGCAACTGACGGCGCTTGTAACAGCAACGTGCAAAGAGTACCACCAAAATTGACAGCAATACTTGGGGTGATCAGTATGGCAGTGATAACTACCGCAATACCATGACTACAAAAATTGCTAGAAATATATTGCGAATCGTGACGCTGGTGATGATCATGCTAAAGTCATAATCGTCATCATCACGGTATAATCACCACCATGTATCGGAGCTTTCCTCATGATAACATCGTTGCGACAGAGGAGTCTTTGACGTTGTCGCGAGACATCCCGAAGCTGGACGACAATGTGACGCACCTCGGCCCTGGTTCTTAACGGTTCAAGCCAAAACGATAATGAGGCTAGACTAACGACCTGTATGGCCATACCTGTTCATTACAACGCACTCTCACATTATTCCAACCGTTGGGAACCGGCCTCATGAGAAGGTGCATTGGCTTTCCTGTGGGCGGAGAGAACATCTCTGTTACCCGCGGTGTGGTGTCGCGCAGTTGCCTCAGGAAGCGAGCCATGCTAGTTCTATGCCAACGTTGGAGTGCAACACCACTGCAACACTGTAACACCCTGGGAGCCTCAGGATACTGTCCATGGGATTCAGTTAGAAGTCGAATTCATGCTGCTAGGCATCGATGTCCACCATGACGGGCTGCTGCGAGTCCAAATCGATGCAGCAATCAACCCAGGCGGCTCGACTGGGTCAGGGTTTTCAACGCTTATAGGGCTTGCGTAAAGAAAAACCCCAAGCGCCCGAAACACTGGGCCCTCTAGGCCCTGCTGACTGATGCTCTCGCTGAGTCGAGGCAACTCCGGCGGCCCCGTCCTGGGAAGTCACGGCAAGATCGTGGGTGTGGCGGCGAGCCATCTAAAGCATGCCCATGGCTCAGAAGGGCTGAAGGGCCCTTTTTGGCATTCTTTGGGCACTTCAAGGGCGCGGGGCTTGACCATAGGAGGGTTTTGTTCTGGCTGCAGCTGTTCTTGCTAGGCCATCGTGCTTCGTCCCGGCAAACTCTGCCCCTGTATGTACAGCAAGACAATAATTTTGAGATGTGTGCGTGTGTGTGTGTGTGTGTCTGTGTCTGTGTGCGGGGAAATCCTGTTACTAAGGACATTGAGTTGGACAATTTTTGAAATATTTGCTGAAAGCCAGTCAAGAGGGCAGGGGGCTGACAGCCGATTCTGTGATGCCAGCCAACGAAAACGGCGGAATAGGTGGAAGGAGCTATGGACGCACAGCTCTGTACTTGCAAGCGTGTCACTTGCTGAAAAGTTTTATATATATATATATATAAATATACACACATATACATGTTGCCTCATTCTTGCAAGAAGTTCTGTAATTGCATCTAAAAGGTCACAATCTTGCCCCTCTAGTAAAATTCATAATCAATTGGCAGGAAGAAGAAAAATGATCAGGATAATGGACCCAAGAAGATTGACGACAGCCGGCTTCGACCGGGATCTACGTGTGTGTGTGTGTGTGTTTTTTGTCGTGCGAAGGATCGGTCCAGTAGGCCTCAAATACAGAACATTTGTGCTGCCACTCACGGGTGATGGGAGGAGCGATTGACAATGCAAAGGCCTCGAACATCGGCTACATCATCCCAACACAGGCAGGTGCCTGATTCCTTCAAAAAGATGTTGGGGGGCTTTGCATGTTCTCTGCACTGTGTAGCATTTCCTGTGGCGTTGAGTGTGGCGAGGTCTTGGAGCAGTTCATCTCCTGTGCAGGCGCACCGCACCGGAATCTTCCCAGCTTAGTGCCTCTGCCGCATCCGAAAGGATTGCAAGGCGCCGAACGTGCGGCTGAAGGTGGCGAGCCCTCGAAGGCCAAAAAATAAAGAGGTGAGTGTTAGAATCCGAAGTGTCGAGCAACCTCGACAGGGATACCTCGGCGTCTCTTCGCTGGGTGTTGGCAGCGTGCAGACGTTGGAGACCGCTCGTGGTGAGGGTTCTTGGCATGTCGAGCAGCTTATCGTGTCACAGAAAATTCCACAGAAGATGCTTCAGCTCAATTGATGGTTCCAGTCTCTTTCATAGATCTCAAAACATGGGCCGCATCCAGCTCTGAACACCAGTGGCTCCAAGTCCGACAAAGGGTACCGACACCGCCTTTCCATAGGAGAGCGTTCCACTGCGGCGGATGTTTGGCCTGCCGGAGGCCTCGGATATCATGCAGTCGTTGTCAGGCCGAGATTCGAGCTTTGCTTCTACAATGCGCAGTGCTGGCGACAGTGAGGATCTAGATTGACTTTGTTGGCCTTGCTTCAATTGCTGGCCGCCTGTCTTTTCGGCTTGCAGCGGCTGAGAACTTCAAACGAAGACACACAGCGCCGACCCGACGAACGCCGAAGGCCATGGAGCCGTGCCTTGCATTGCAGATGAGGAACGGGGAGCTCTAGGCTTGCTGCCGTTACAGTCCACTGTTTGGGACTGTCGTCGTCGTCAGCTTCATCATCATCGCCATCCTGATTGGCAATCTTGTTGCTATTACTGCCAGAGTCACCAGATTTATTCATGCAGGGCATTTTCGAAACGTAGCAGTGTCAACCTCACCATGCTCGATATGGACGCATTGTCAGTCGCATTTCGCGTCAGCAACATGGTGCCTGCGCCTTTGTCGGTTTCTCTCTCTCTCTCTCTTTTCTCTGTCTCTCTCTCTCTCTCTCTCTCTCTCTCTCTACATGTCTCGATGCTCGCTGTCAGATGCTGAGGCTGCGACTTCCCTTCCCCTCCGGGGACTCAGGCTGGATGGGGGCAAGCCCTTCATGCATCTGACAAGACTGCACTTCGCCAGGGACAGACAAAGTCATTGTAAAGAAGACGTTCCTGGAGGACAGATGATCGTCAGTCGAAGTAGCTGCAGGACGTATCGTTGCGGCTTACTTCAGGTGGTGGAGGACATCACTCCGAGGGGATTGCCAGCGACCTACAACTCAGAGCCTTGGCCAGGTCTCTTTTTTCAAGAGGCTTCTTCTTGGGTTGCTTGGTGGTTGTGGGCTCGAGGATTCCGTGATTACCTCGCGATTTGGCCGACAGCTCAGTGGCAAATCCGTGGTGGACGACGAGGCATACGAGGCGGGGATGCCCAAAATCTTCCAGGCTTTCTGGGAATCCTAAACCCTAAACCCTAAACCCTAAACCCTAAATCCTAAACATGGTTCGTTTCAAGGCCGTGCCCGAAGACGCCGATGGCTCCCCGTATATCCAGTCAAAGGACTTGGAGACGGAACCGTATCCTGACTTTCCGTCCCTTGGCGTTTGGGAGGGCCCTTTTTCACGTGCTCATCTCTTTGGTAGATTCAGGCAAATCATCTCTTTGGTCTCTTTATGCAAATGACTTCGGAAGTGCAGCATCCTGCAATTTTCTCACTGAGGAGATCCATCGACCTTGTGCGATCCACGGCCTCCAAGACGGAAAGGCCGATCGAGGAGGCCGGCTAAGCAGAATCTCTCGCGCTTCTCTGAGTCCCACGAGTTGATGAGGTGGACGACCAGGAAGAGGAGCTTCCGGTGTTGCTTGGGGGCAAGTCCCATGTCGAGAAGGACAAGATCGAGGCCTCGAGCCCTTTTCCTTTTAATTTCCTTCTCGGTTTCTTGCTGCTGTAAGGGCGGACTCGGCTTGCTTGGTGTCGAACAGGAGGGCCCCGAGTGCGCCAGTTCGGGACGGAGTCGGCTTCTGATCTCGACGCTCTTGAGTGAGGACTTGACATGGGACCGGTTATTATTACTATTGTTACTATTATCATTATCAGTATTATTACCAATGTTATCATTATTATTGTTATTATTGTTATTATTATTATTATGGGATCGGGATGAGTTCATGATGACTTGCCCTTGAGGATGAGACGCACCCGAGGGTCGGTCGAGCTCCGCCACCGATGATGCCCGTGCTGGGAGCTGCAGGGATCTACAGGCGACGGTCAAGTCTTGACCAGCCAAAACCCCAAACCCGAACGCCTAAAGCCGAAACCCATAATCAACCCAGCCGAGCCCGTCAAAGGCCTTCCTTGGACCAGCTTTTGGCCCAGTATGTGGTTGCGGGCGTTCCCACATTGCCCCTCGGCAATGTAGTGTTTCATCCTGAGTTGGGGGTCGTACCGCGTGGCAGTACAGGCCGGGCTTCGTTCCGACCCCGCAACCATCAGGCGAGGTTATACTCTGGAGCGCCATCCCGAAACCTTTCCCATGTGCCGTCGCGGCTCAGATAGCACATCTTCGCAGCCACACTCATCGCAATCCTCGCAGCCGCGAACTACCGTGATGCTGCGCCCGGCTGCCCAGGGAGAGCCGGGGTAGGTCTGACCTGAATTTGTTGCGCTTGCCATTGCCTGCAAGCAGTTTGTTCTTTGTGCAGGGGCTTCCGGTAAGATTGAGTCAGGCACAGTTCGCAGGACCTGCGACTCAGGGTCCAGGGTATTTTCGAATCAAGTTCTCATGGGCGAAGGTAATCTTCCCAACAACTACACCCGGGCCATGGTCAGCACCATGATGGACAAGGAAAATTTTAAGGCACAGCTCTGCGGAATGCAGTGCCAAGAACTTTGACTTGTGTTTCTGTCCGCAACACCGGCATGGCACTGTGTCAAGGGTGCACCGAACACGACCCTGTGAGGGCAAGTACGACTTCCTGTACCTCCCCATCGTCGCTTGGCAAACAGTGCCCGGGCTCTTGAGCCTTAGCCAGGCTCAGCTGCACTTCTGCGGGATCAGACCAAGCTTATCAACATATAAATAACGGACGTTCAGCTACTGTCCAGAGAAAAAGGTGGGCCATCCGTAGCGGGCAGACTACGTGGTAGTAGCTCCTTGAACAGGCAAGCCAGCAATTTCCTCAGGACTTCCGGTCCAAAGCGAACCTGGGATATGCCTTTGCTCCTCGACTTCATCCACATTTCCGCTATGCGCGCCTCCACACATCGAATCCGAAGTGTCGGTTTCGCACCAAGGTGAATCTGGTCGACGAGAAGCAGGTCAAGGCTCTCGAAGTGAGCGGAAACTTCAGGTGTCTGAAAGCATGTCATCTCTTGGCATCAACTTAAAGTCTTGAGGGCAGCCCAGCAAATTTGGACAGCCGACATGTGCTGGGTGTGTTGACTCTTGCCTGAACACAGAGGCATTCTGGAAAGTTTTTGATGGCTACACGCGGTGGGTTCTTCCGAGCGCGAAGGCTGGGGGATAGAGACAACTGGGGCGCCTTTCTATGCCTGAGCCCGCAGAGTCTTGGATCTTGCAATGCTGTAACATTGTAGTGATGAGCCCTGCCCCACGGCAACTTTGGGAGGTGTGCAGCGTGAGTTGGAGTGGTCCTCATCAAGGGCAGCAAGCACACGTGGATCGATACAGGATGGGCGGGGGAAACCGGAGCGAGCCAGAAGGTACGGCAAGAACTCATAGTTGATGCTTGGATGTGCTCTCAATACCAGGGACAGCCCTATCATGCACAGCAGCGTGCCCGACGAGTTCAAGCCTGCCATCTTTGCGCAAGGCCGGAGTCTGTCGAACGGACAAAAAAGGTGCATTTGTCGAAGAGATGTCCTCAAATATAGTAGGATCCTGAAATATGTCGCAAGGGCTAAGGGTCACGGCTCCTTGGTGGCCAGGCACCGGAGAGCGCATGGACTTCCCGGCGCCCTCGAAGAAGCTTCGCGCTCCACGCCGAAGGCCTGGCCATGGAGGCACCGACGAAGCGCACCGTGCGAGAGCTGCGAGAGCGAGAGGGGCCCAGGCCCGGGGACAGAGAGAGAGAGGTGCAATGCGCCCCTTCCTTTGTCTGTGTGGAAGAAGAGAGGGGCAATCCTACCCGTACTTGTACCTGGTGCTTGTTGTCGTCTTGCAGCGTGGGCCAAACACTCCCTCCGCAAATACAGACAGCACACTCAGCTCAGGAGGGGATATTCCTAGACCTCTGCCTTCCCAAGAGTTATCCGTTTTTTTTGTGTGTGGGGGGAACTTCAATACACCCTCCGTAGCTAATAGAGAGTACGTCCGGGCCTCAGAGTGTTTTTAATGGGGGACTTCAGTGTTTATGTCGTTGCATGCGCGTTTGCTTTCATGAAATCGGACCTACACGCACGTGTGCTACAGCGGGGGAGACATTTAATTTCCAAGCCGGAGGAAAATGCCCTGGCGAAACCTTTGCCCAGCCGTGCGATGCAGCGAAGAGTGGGGGAATGGCTTTGAAGGATTCACTATTTGTTGCGAGAAGTTTTTCTTACAACGACTCTTCGCGACAACGCACGTGCAAGCCAGGAGCTAACTGTTTCTCGTACAGCAGAGCCTTCTGTGGAAACAACCCGTGCCGGGAAGGGGGGGGCGAGTCAGACACCCGGGACTTGCGGGTGCGCGCTCGCGTGCGGGGCTTAGGGTCGGACCGCCCTGAGCTCCCTACCTCGGAGAGAGAGAGAGCGACAGAGAGAAAATGTCCCCTCCGTAGCGATTTTGGCTCAAGTCGACCCGCCTTCTTTCGGGGGGCACTCGAGGGCGGGCCTTCGGGTCTGCTGTCTGTTTGCAGCAGTCCCTCTGAGTGCGGGAGGCTTGAGTCTTCCGCCGATGCCGTTTCTCTTAAGTTGCCTCTCAAAACCCAGCTTTCCTCGGAACCGGTGAGTCTGTCAACCTCGAAACGGGGAGAACCCTGAATGAGGGGGGCAGTGATGAGTACAGGCGCTATATACAGAGGCAAAACGAGCGTCGAGACACAGGTCGCCGCACAGATCGGCTCCTGTCTTTGGTGGGGGAAAGTAGCCGGTGCGTGGAAGCAGAGCTGCGCTTCTTCGTGGCGAAGTACCCATGGAAAGTAGCCGGCCTCTTCAGCACAGCCAAAAAGGTCTTCCCGAAGACCCCGCATCCCCAGACAAAAGACAAAGCGGAAACGACCAATACCGCAAGAAGATGACAGGCGGCGAGAGAGGAAGGGGGAGCAAACGGTGAGAGCGCATAATCCGTGCACGTTTCCTTGAACAATGGGCTTGGTGTGGAATCTTTAAAGGCAGGGGGAACCTTGCCTTCTGAGGTACACCTCTTTCCAATACGGCCCGATTTCGGCAGCCAATCATAGGCTCTTTTAAACACACCGTCGATGCTAGTCGGTCGAGGAGGAGCACCTTTAGGCGTATATACCAGCCGAAAAGCATCACGCTGCGATCCATTGTCGTTTGTATTGTTGGCCGGAGCCTTTGTAGTTTTCGGAGTTGCGTTGCAGCAGATGCGAAAAAAGGGGAATGTCGACTGCGATCGTTCTGTTATAATGTTGTCTTTGCTTCTCCTCTGGTTCTTCTTGGAGATCGCACTCCCGTGTGATGTAAAGCCGAGCCCTCGAGAGAGAAACCGTCGAGGGAATCTTTCCGCCAAAGAACCGCGGGCGCGCGTTCGCGCGCGAGGAGGGCGGCCTGGACGCTGCTACCTTCCTTTGCCCCTAGAGAGAAAGAGAGAGAGAGAGAGAGAGAAAACCCCATTTTGGCTCAAGTCAACCTGCCG